CCGTGCCTGCCGCTGCGGGATCCGTGCCTGCTGCGTTTCTTGGCAGCAGCGGAGGGCATCGGGTTTTGCGCAAACCCAGATTTCAGGATGCGGTGTGGGACCTTGCCCTGACAAACGCAGGTGAGGTCTTAGTCTGGCTCTGCTGGTAATTGCATGGCAAAGGCATAAACCAGGTGAATGGTGCGTAAACTCCCCCGGTAAACGGCAGCGAGCTCCGTTTGTGTCAGTGCTAGGAATAAGGCGCTGTGAGGAAAATTAACTGTTAAGCTGGGCTGGAGACTTTGGCAATGTGATTTTTCAAGTCAGGATTTTGCGTGAATGTTTGGGCACGTAACTCTTACTCGTCTGGATGGGAGTTAATCGCTCCAGGCGAAGGGAAATAAGCTTATTAACCTCCTCAAGATATAGTGGGCACTTCTGGCTTCGTGGTGGAGGAAGAGCTGCAGGGAGCACGGAGGGGGTCTGGACCACTTGTGGTCCCCAGAGAGAGACCATCTGGAGCACCAGCATCTCCCGGGGGTGTTTCCAGGTGCCCTCTCATCCCTCCAGCAGTGCAAGGAGGTGATGGGGATGCGGTCCAAGGCTTTGCTCCCTCGACACCCCCGGATCTCCCTCCCCTTCCGCAGGTGACCAGCGCAGCAGCGTGGTCAATGAGTCCAGCAGTCTACTGGGGGGCTCCCCCCGCCGCCAGTGCGGCCGCAAAGGGTCCCCGTATCACACCGGGCAGCTCCATCCCGCCGTGCGGGTGGCGGATCTCCTCCAGCATATCAACCAGATGAAGACGGCAGAAGGGTACGGCTTCAAGCAGGAGTACGAGGTGAGATCATCTTGTGCTGGCATCTCGGGGAGGGCGGGAGGTAGGATGGGTGAGGTGGCGTGGGTAGGACCTGTGTGCAAGGAGAAGATGGAGCTGCAGTGGACAGCAGGAGCTGGAGCTCGCAGCTAACCGTGCAGACAGCATCAGCATGTGCGGTGTGTCCTGGGTCTGGATCAAATCTCTGGTCCTGGCACCTCGGGATTTAATCGTCATCTTGAACAGGTCCCTGAGATGAGCCAAAGCAGCTCTGCCAGCCAGCCTGCACCTCTCCTGTCTGCAGTGTGTCATCCCACCTCTCCCGCAGGGGCTGGGGATGCTTCTCCCTTTCTCAGGTCCTCCTGAGCACCACAATCTCATGACGTTCTGCTCTCCAACACGCTTGTCCTGTGATAAGCACGGACATAGCCTAAATCCTCCGCAGTCTGGCAGCTCCCAAGTCCGTGGAGACCCCAGGGAGAGGATGCAAGAGAGGGTCGTCCCAGGGGGAGGGGAGTCCCCTGCGAGGGTCGTTGGCCGCATCATGTCCATCCCACCTCGTTGGGCCGGAGCGTTTGTAATGGAGTGCGTTATTCTGCACGCTTCTGCCGCAGTGTGCCTGGCGGGGTTGATTTCCTGACTCCTCGGTGTCCCACAGGTCTGGCGATTGAAATTTCCCAGTGAAATTACTGTTTAATGCTTAGTTGTTTCAAGTGCAGGAGCTTCCCCCCCCCTTTCATGTATTGGACAAACCAAGGCTTGCTATAATCATTAGTGCTCCTTGAAAAGCTGCTCTATGTTCTTGGAACTAGTCATTTGAAAGCACTCAGATATTATGGGAGGGGAGAAAACATGTAATTTCCTTCCACTTTCCTCCTCTTATGCCAATCTATGAATGTTACTGTTATTGCACACAAACCTATTCTGTGCTGGGGAGAGAAAGGGGCTGGGGAGATTTGGGAAAAAACCACAACCAATCCTAGAAGAAAAACCAGGCAGTATATAATTCGCTGGAAAAAAGGGGCATTTTGTGGATGCAGCAGAAGTGTGTGGCTGGCAGAGCGTGCTATGGGGATGGAGCTGGGGCCGCGGGACCTGTCTGCTGGGGTGGAGGGACAACCCTGTCTGCCCTGCTCCCCGGGAAGGTTGTGGGGCTCGGGGGGAGCCCACAGTCCTGCCTTCGGGTCGTGACAGCCATCCCTTCCTTCCAGAGTTTCTTTGAAGGCTGGGATGCTTCGAAGAAGAAAGACAAGACCAAAGGGAGACAGGATCACGTATCGACATGTGAGTGCCTTTCGCAAAGGCTTAGACACCCTGAACAGCTTCAAAAACCTTCTAGAGGGCTTTGGGGGCTTTTTTTTGGGTAGGTGTGTGGTCCACAGCAAGGAATAAACTGGTGGGGTGTGGTTGGTCGAGGGCAGCAGAGAGGTCCTTGCTCAGTGCAGGGTTCCCAGCCTGAGAGCTCCTGTTGGGCATCAGACACCGGAGCGAATTGGAGGGCTGGAGCTGGATAACTCTTGAGGATGGGACATCTTGGGGTGATGATAGCACCACCATGATATTCTGGGTGGTGCTGGAAGGCCCCAGATAACTGGGGTGTGTTTTATTGTATGAACTTAGGAGAAACTGCAGCCTTGGCCCAGGGGACTTCTGGTGTGGACGTGCAGGATGAGACAAAGTGGTTAAATGATGAGTTTTTTAGGACAGAAGACTGGGTAAGGGCTTGACCCCGTAGGAGACAGGATGCTCCTCACCAGCTCCTTCCATAGTCAGTGTGGCACGGCCACTGCTCCATGCTGCATCTCTGGTGACGTTCCTGCAGGGATGGAGGCACCAAACCTGGCCCTCCAGGAGCTCTGGAGCTCTCCACCTCCCACACGCTTTGCTCCACAGCTTCATCCCTTCCACTCCAGCATTGTCCGGGACCCCAGGTGGACACCAGAGGTTGGGCAGAGCTCTCTGCTCACCTGTCTGGGGTCTGGCCATCCTGATGCCCCGCTGGGGTGGACAGCAGGGTGCTGGGGGGTGGGGTGCTCTCTGTCTTTGGCAGGACATGGCAGAGCTCAGGGAGATACCGTGCTGAAAGCTGCTCCCCTGTGTCCCTGCTGGTCTAAGCCACCATCTTTGGAAAGATCTCCACCAGCTTGTATTCATCGCTCCTGAATATAACCCACCTGCCTGCGTTTTGCAGATTCCTGGTGCAAAACGATTTCAAAGGGTGTCCCGGGACCCGGCGGGGTGACGTGCTGTCCCCGTGCTCGTCCCCCCGGGCGCTGATGGTCCCTTCTCCCATTGCTCTCCAGATGACCGTCACCGAGTGAAGCTGCACCCGCTGCTGGGCGATCCCAACTCAGACTACATCAATGCCAACTACATCGATGTAAGTGGGGACGGTGCCTCTCTCCATGGGGGGTCTGGACTGGGACAGGACATTCCTGTGGGCCCCGTGGAGTGTCAGGGTCTGTCCAGCAGCGTTTGGAGGAGCTTAGCCTGGGATGGGCTGATCTGTGCAGCCCTGAGACGCGCCGTGAAGATCCTGCCTGATTTATTTATGTTCATCAGCAATTTCTGCTTGCTGCGTCTCTCCTTTCTCTGCTCCGCTCTATCCCTCCTTTCTCATTCCCTCTCTCGTCCCCTCTTCCATCCTCTCTTCTCCCCTCGCTTGCTCTCGTGGCCATGGACCTTCCTCCTCCCTGGGTGGAGGATGCCGAGGTTGAGTGTGCTGAGGGACCGGCTGGTAGCTCACGCTGGGATACCCCCCGGGTCGGTGCGTGTGAGTCTGGGCAGAGCTCGGCTCTGGTGTCCTCAGGGCAATGTCCCCCGAGAGAGATGTCCCCTGTTACCTCCAGCGATGCTGAGACCAGGGGAGGTGCAGGAAGGCTCTGTTGGGTGCAGGGCTCGAGCATCTCCTGGAAGGAGCAGCGAGTCCCACTCTTCCCTCCTTTGCAGAGGATGTCATCTGGCAGTGGTGGCCTGATGCCACCGTGATGGCTTCCCCGTGCCCGAGCAGCATCCCCACGCCTGTCCCCTGTCTTCACGTGTCTCTTCTCCCCCGTGGCTCTCCATGACCCGCTCCGGGGCCGGTGCTCTAACCTGTCTCTTGAGCTGTGCCTCACTAATGTCTCTGTCTCTGATCTTTTTCTCTCAAACCTGTGTCCCAACGGGATCATTAAGATTCGGATTAACCGAGAAGTAAGTAGATGGTTCCCCTCTCGTTCCTTCTCTCTGCTCCTGTCTCCTCCCAGGCATCGTACCGGGCAGTGGGGTGTTAAATAGCATCTGGGAGGGGCAGGCTGGGGAAATGTGTGGAGAAACTTGGGTATGGTCCGGGGAAGGGGGAAGCACGGTTTCCGTGGCACGTCCTCCCTGGGGTGACGGAGAGCCGGGGCTGCACGCTCGCAGGAGTTCAACCCACTAAAATCCCCCGTGAAAGGACCTGCGGTGGATGGAGAAGCTGCCGTCACCTCCACGTGTGTAACGTGGTTGAACCGTCCCGTGGTCGAGGTGTGGGACACCAGGTCACCGGTCCCTTTGGCGGTGGCCTCGCTGGGCTGCGCTCTTCGGGCTGGCACATCCCTGTTAAGGGTTGGGAATGGTCCCAGTAAGTGGCTGGGATAAAGGAGGGGCGCAGGGCTGTTGCTCAGTGCCCCGTGGCTGCTGCGGGAGGGGATATCGTTAACAGGGCTCTCGTTGCCGTGCTCGGCAGCAACACCAGCGGCACAGGAGCCGGGATCGAGCCGGCAGACCCTGCGGGGTGCTGCTGGGGACGAGGTGCAGAGCAGGGATGAGGACTGGGCATTACTTGAACCTTTCCTGGGATGTGGGACGTGCACCCTCCCAGGACAGGGTGCACCGGGTGCCGGGCGGCTGCTGAGCCTCTTCCTCCTCCTCCTCGTCCTGCAGTGGTGAGCAGCACCGCACCAGTGGCCAGGATCTGGTCCGGCAGATGCGGGTTTGCCACTTGGGTGACTGGGAAATGTTTTACAGGGCTGTACCCCAGCTCTCGAGTGTCCCCGTGTCCTGTCCCCCCCCCCCAACTTGGGACTGATGTCTCTGCTTCCCTTGCAGGGCTACCACAGGTCCAACCACTTCATAGCCACGCAAGGTGAGTGCCCCCCCGTCCTCCCCTGGCCAGCGGTGCAGCAGCTCCGGGTTCACCAGCCAGGATTTAACCTTGTGTGGGCAAGAAAAGGGAGGGAGTGGGTCATTTCGGGGACAAACGGGGTGGTAGCAATGTGGAGCAGCTCCTACTCCTCCTGCGACCCCACGGCACCATGCGTCCCCGGGGGGAAGGGATGGTTTCAGCCACCACGGAGGCTATTGGGGATTGATTTTTTTATTTTTTTTGCTTAAAATGCTGCGGGGGTGTTAGTGCTGCAGAGGTAGGAGGGGATCGTCGCGGTGCCCGTTCATCCCCTGTGGCCTTTCCTCCGTCCCGCAGGGCCCAAGCAGGAGATGGTGTATGACTTCTGGCGCATGGTGTGGCAGGAGCACTGTTCCAGCATCGTGATGATAACCAAGCTGGTGGAGGTGGGCCGGGTAAGGACCCTGTCCCATCCCTCTCCCTCCGGGCTCCAGCTTGACCAGGAGCTTCTTCCGCAGAGCCAAAACCCCATCCTGTCCTCTCCTTGCAGGTGAAATGCTCCAAGTACTGGCCGGATGACTCCGAGATGTATGGGGACATCAAGATCACCCTGGTGAAGTCGGAGACGTTGGCCGAGTACGCAGTCCGCACCTTCGCTCTCGAGAGGGTACGGTCCTGCTCCTGCCGGCCGCGACCTGCCCAACCCTGCCCTCGCCCGCAGAGAACCGACTGCCTTGGCCATTTCTAACCGTTGCTAGATTGGCGTTTACCAATACTCTGTTTATTTACCCCCACTTGGGCTTTCACCC